TATAGCAGTGTGAGTGAAGTCTGTGGTTCCATGTTGTAGTGCTTTATTATATCAACGCTGTATAGCAGTGTGAGTGAAGTCTGTGGTTCCATGTTGTAGTGCTTTATTATATCAACGCTGTATAGCAGTGTGAGTGAAGTCTGTGTTCCATGTTGTCTGCTTTATTATATCAACGCTGTATGTGAGTGAAGTCTGTGGTTCCATGTTGTAGTGCTTTATTATATCAACGCTGTAAGCAGTGTGAGTGAAGTCTGTGGTTCCATGTTGTAGTGCTTTATTATATCAACGCTGTATAGCAGTGTGAGTGAAGTCTGTGGTTTCCATGTTGTAGTGCTTTATTATATCAACGCTGTATAGCAGTGTGAGTGAAGTCTGTGGTTCCATGTTGTAGTGCTTTATTATATCAACGCTGTATAGCAGTGTGAGTGAAGTCTGTGGTTCCATGTTGTAGTGCTTTATTATATCAACGCTGTATAGCAGTGTGAGTGAAGTCTGTGGTTCCATGTTGTAGTGCTTTATTATATCAACGCTGTATAGCAGTGTGAGTGAAGTCTGTGGTTCCATGTTGTAGTGCTTTATTATATCAACGCTGTATAGCAGTGTGAGTGAAGTCTGTGGTTCCATGTTGTAGTGCTTTATTATATCAACGCTGTATAGCAGTGTGAGTGAAGTCTGTGGTTCCATGTTGTAGTGCTTTATTATATCAACGCTGTATAGCAGTGTGAGTGAAGTCTGTGGTTCCATGTTGTAGTGCTTTATTATATCAACGCTGTATAGCAGTGTGAGTGAAGTCTGTGGTTCCATGTTGTAGTGCTTTATTATATCAACGCTGTATAGCAGTGTGAGTGAAGTCTGTGGTTCCATGTTGTAGTGCTTTATTATATCAACGCTGTATAGCAGTGTGAGTGAAGTCTGTGGTTCCATGTTGTAGTGCTTTATTATATCAACGCTGTATAGCAGTGTGAGTGAAGTCTGTGGTTCCATGTTGTAGTGCTTTATTATATCAACGCTGTATAGCAGTGTGAGTGAAGTCTGTGGTTCCATGTTGTAGTGCTTTATTATATCAACGCTGTATAGCAGTGTGAGTGAAGTCTGTGGTTCCATGTTGTAGTGCTTTTTATTATATCAACGCTGTATAGCAGTGTGAGTGAAGTCTGTGGTTCCATGTTGTAGTGCTTTATTATATCAACGCTGTATAGCAGTGTGAGTGAAGTCTGTGGTTCCATGTTGTAGTGCTTTATTATATCAACGCTGTATAGCAGTGTGAGTGAAGTCTGTGGTTCCATGTTGTAGTGCTTTATTATATCAACGCTGTATAGCAGTGTGAGTGAAGTCTGTGGTTCCATGTTGTAGTGCTTTATTATATCAACGCTGTATAGCAGTGTGAGTGAAGTCTGTGGTTCCATGTTGTAGTGCTTTATTATATCAACGCTGTATAGCAGTGTGAGTGAAGTCTGTGGTTCCATGTTGTAGTGCTTTATTATATCAACGCTGTATAGCAGTGTGAGTGAAGTCTGTGGTTCCATGTTGTAGTGCTTTATTATATCAACGCTGTATAGCAGTGTGAGTGAAGTCTGTGGTTCCATGTTGTAGTGCTTTATTATATCAACGCTGTATAGCAGTGTGAGTGAAGTCTGTGGTTCCATGTTGTAGTGCTTTATTATATCAACGCTGTATAGCAGTGTGAGTGAAGTCTGTGGTTCCATGTTGTAGTGCTTTATTATATCAACGCTGTATAGCAGTGTGAGTGAAGTCTGTGGTTCCATGTTGTAGTGCTTTATTATATCAACGCTGTATAGCAGTGAGTGAAGTCTGTGGTTCCATGTTGTAGTGCTTTATTATATCAACGCTGTATAGCAGTGTGAGTGAAGTCTGTGGTTCCATGTTGTAGTGCTTTATTATATCAACGCTGTATAGCAGTGTGAGTGAAGTCTGTGGTTCCATGTTGTAGTGCTTTATTATATCAACGCTGTATAGCAGTGTGAGTGAAGTCTGTGGTTCCATGTTGTAGTGCTTTATTATATCAACGCTGTATAGCAGTGTGAGTGAAGTCTGTGGTTCCATGTTGTAGTGCTTTATTATATCAACGCTGTATAGCAGTGTGAGTGAAGTCTGTGGTTCCATGTTGTAGTGCTTTATTATATCAACGCTGTATAGCAGTGTGAGTGAAGTCTGTGGTTCCATGTTGTAGTGCTTTATTATATCAACGCTGTATAGCAGTGTGAGTGAAGTCTGTGGTTCCATGTTGTAGTGCTTTATTATATCAACGCTGTATAGCAGTGTGAGTGAAGTCTGTGGTTCCATGTTGTAGTGCTTTATTATATCAACGCTGTATAGCAGTGTGAGTGAAGTCTGTGGTTCCATGTTGTAGTGCTTTATTATATCAACGCTGTATAGCAGTGTGAGTGAAGTCTGTGGTTCCATGTTGTAGTGCTTTATTATATCAACGCTGTATAGCAGTGTGAGTGAAGTCTGTGGTTCCATGTTGTAGTGCTTTATTATATCAACGCTGTATAGCAGTGTGAGTGAAGTCTGTGGTTCCATGTTGTAGTGCTTTATTATATCAACGCTGTATAGCAGTGTGAGTGAAGTCTGTGGTTCCATGTTGTAGTGCTTTATTATATCAACGCTGTATAGCAGTGAGTGAAGTCTGTGGTTCCATGTTGTAGTGCTTTATTATATCAACGCTGTATAGCAGTGTGAGTGAAGTCTGTGGTTCCATGTTGTAGTGCTTTATTATATCAACGCTGTATAGCAGTGTGAGTGAAGTCTGTGGTTCCATGTTGTAGTGCTTTATTATATCAACGCTGTATAGCAGTGTGAGTGAAGTCTGTGGTTCCATGTTGTAGTGCTTTATTATATCAACGCTGTATAGCAGTGTGAGTGAAGTCTGTGGTTCCATGTTGTAGTGCTTTATTATATCAACGCTGTATAGCAGTGTGAGTGAAGTCTGTGGTTCCATGTTGTAGTGCTTTATTATATCAACGCTGTATAGCAGTGTGAGTGAAGTCTGTGGTTCCATGTTGTAGTGCTTTATTATATCAACGCTGTATAGCAGTGTGAGTGAAGTCTGTGGTTCCATGTTGTAGTGCTTTATTATATCAACGCTGTATAGCAGTGTGAGTGAAGTCTGTGGTTCCATGTTGTAGTGCTTTATTATATCAACGCTGTATAGCAGTGTGAGTGAAGTCTGTGGTTCCATGTTGTAGTGCTTTATTATATCAACGCTGTATAGCAGTATGAGTGAAGTCTGTGGTTCCATGTTGTAGTGCTTTATTATATCAACGCTGTATAGCAGTGTGAGTGAAGTCTGAGGTTCCATGTTGTAGTGCTTTATTATATCAACGCTGTATAGCAGTGTGAGTGAATTCTGTGATTCCATGTTATAGTGCTTTATTATATCAACTGTGCATAGCAGTGTGAGTGAAGTCTGTGGTTCCATGTTGTAGTGCTTTATCATATCAACGCTGTATAGCAGTGTGAGTGAAGTCTGTGGTTCCATGTTGTAGTGCTTTATTATATCAACGCTGTATAGCAGTGTGAGTGAAGTCTGTGGTTCCATGTTGTAGTGCTTTATTATATCAACGCTGTATAGCAGTGTGAGTGAAGTCTGTGGTTCCATGTTGTAGTGCTTTATTATATCAACGCTGTATAGCAGTGTGAGTGAAGTCTGAGGTTCCATGTTGTAGTGCTTTATTATATCAACGCTGTATAGCAGTGTTAGTGAAGTCTGTGGTTCCTGCAAACATTACGACGCAAGTTGCACGAGTGGTCCATTGTATAGTCACACAACCCTATCCATAGTCATAAACACATCCTTGATTGCTCCAACTGCATCATGAGCATGTGCTTATGAATCACTGTCAAATAGCGAAGATGCCCTACTGGTGGCATCTATCACAAACACATGCAACAGCTGGTCAATTGTTCACAAACACGAGACATATGGTACAGTTCATACAAGAATATGCAGTCACTGCTACGCCAGACAGTCCCCAACATGCCTTCCGTTAAGCTTCACTTAAACATTGAACATCGTAATATATAATAGAAGTGTGACGTCACATGTGTCCCCTTTGTGAGGCAGGAAAACACTTATTTTGTCGATTCACATCTCCAACCTACGCCATTTCCAAATGAATTGTGAAATAACTGGCAGTTTTCAGTTTAGAACTACGTAACCTTTAGACTAACGCTTAGTCTCCGAATAGACATAATTTTGATCATAACAAATACACTCATATATATTGAAAGGGAGCCCCAGTGAAAACCTGAGCAAATCTAGACTTGCTTCATTGAGGGCTTTAGTATTGCAGGGAGGGCTAGGTAGGAGGGAAGATAATGTGGGTCAGGGACTGTGAGAGTAAGCTGTGCATCATGGCGTCGTCATATCAGCCGAATTTTCACATCTTCTCATTTCACAAAGCTGCTGTGTCTGGTCAAGCTGCCATTATTTACAGATGGCCGTCATCGTTGCAAAACCCGTTAAGATCCGGGTTCGAATTGGTCTTCAGCAACCCATGCTTGTCGTAAGAGGCGACTAAAGGGATCGGGAGCACAGGCCCTAGGTTTGGGAGGATTAAAGAGTTAGAAAAAATATATAAACATTTGAGATGACCCCGACTCGTAATGCTTCACAGGTCATTATGTATTGTGCTGTGAAGCATGTCGAGTCGGGGGTCATCTCAAAGTCAATATTTTGTAATAATTAATCTCCGCAAAGACACGAGGGCCTGTGATCGCTGACTTGGTTGACATATGTCATCGCATCCGAAACGCCTAGATCGATGCTCATGTTGTTGATCACTGGATTGTCAGGTCCAGGCTCGATTACTTACAGACCTCCGTCATATAGCTGGAATATTGCTGAATGCGGCAGTAACAACAAACTAACAAAACCAACATCGTTCAAACGTGACGTGTGTTTTATAACACGAAAGTGATTCTTTATTTCCATATATGTAATGTATGTAATTTGAAACGCTCATTTCTTCCCACAGATATGGAAGTAAGAACTCTGCTGTTCCTGGTGTGTTTGCCAGCGCTCATCACTGGTACTCCCTCGAAACAAGCAAAACATGACTTCAAAAGTACTTTACGTCACAATATGAAAGGATATTTTAAGAGTTACACGCTTGGAAATTTCAAAGGAGTCTATGACAAGGAGTTTTACACGCTAAAGATAAGCAAATGGTTAAGTGAAGATGTGTCAGAGAATACACCCCATGTACACGAAGAAACAGAGCGCCCACTACTGGCTGCTAAGCAAGAACCAGGTTTAAGACAGGAGTGGCTAAATAACGGAAAACCAACAGAGCCCCAGTTACTTGCCAACTTCAAACACCAGGGAACCGATCAACCATTACTGGCTGCCAAGAGAGAACAGTTGTCAATACAGGAGTGGTTGAATAATGAAAAACCAACAGAGCCCCAGTTGTTGGCAAACTTCAAATACGAGGAAACTGAACGCCCACTACTGGCTGCCAAGCAAGAACAACTGTCTGTACAAGAGTGGCTAAATAATGCAAAACCAACAGAGCCCCAGTTGCTTGCAAACTTCAAATACGAGGAAACTGAACGCCCACTACTGGTTACCAAGAGAGAACTGTTGGCGCAAGAGTGGTTGAATAATGCAAAACCAACAGAGCCCCAGTTGCTTGCAAACTTCAAATACGAGGAAACTGAACGCCCACTACTGGTTACCAAGAGAGAACTGTTGGCGCAAGAGTGGTTGAATAATGCAAAACCAACAGAGCCCCAGTTGCTTGCAAACTTCAAACACGAGGAAACGGAACGCCCACTACTGGTTACCAAGAGAGAACTGTTGGCGCAAGAGTGGTTGAATAATGCAAAACCAACAGAGCCCCAGTTGCTTGCAAACTTCAAATACGAGGAAACGGAACGCCCACTACTGGTTACCAAGAGAGAACTGTTGGCGCAAGAGTGGTTGAATAATGCAAAACCAACAGAGCCCCAGTTGCTTGCAAACTTCAAACACGAGGAAACGGAACGCCCACTACTGGTTACCAAGAGAGAACTGTTGTCGCAAGAGTGGTTGAATAATGCAAAACCAACAGAGCCCCAGTTGTTGGCAAACTTCAAATACGAGGAAACGGAACGCCCACTACTGGCTGCCAAGCGAGAACAACTGTCTGTACAAGATCGGTTAAATAATGCAAAACCAACAGAGCCCCAGTTGCTTGCAAACTTCAAACACGAGGAAACGGAACGCCCACTACTGGTTACCAAGAGAGAACTGTTGGCGCAAGAGTGGTTGAATAATGCAAAACCAACAGAGCCCCAGTTGTTGGCAAACTTCAAATGCGAGGAAACGGAACGCCCACTACTGGTTACCAAGAGAGAACTGTTGGCGCAAGAGTGGTTGAATAATGCAAAACCAACAGAGCCCCAGTTGCTTGCAAACTTCAAATACGAGGAAACGGAACGCCCACTACTGGCTGCCAAGCGAGAACAACTGTCTGTACAAGAGTGGTTAAATAATGCAAAACCAACAGAGCCCCAGTTGCTTGCAAACTTCAAATACGAGGAAACGGAACGCCCACTACTGGTTACCAAGAGAGAACTGTTGGCGCAAGAGTGGTTGAATAATGCAAAACCAACAGAGCCCCAGTTGTTGGCAAACTTCAAATACGAGGAAACGGAACGCCCACTACTGGTTACCAAGAGAGAACTGTTGGCGCAAGAGTGGTTGAATAATGCAAAACCAACAGAGCCCCAGTTGTTGGCAAACTTCAAATACGAGGAAACGGAACGCCCACTACTGGTTACCAAGAGAGAACTGTTGGCGCAAGAGTGGTTAAATAATGCAAAACCAACAGAGCCCCAGTTGCTTGCAAACTTCAAACACGAGGAAACTGAACGCCCACTACTGGCTGCCAAGCAAGATCAGGAGTTGAAACAGGAATGGTTAAATAATGCAAATCCATCTGGACCTCAGCTGCTTGGAAACTTAATGGACGAAGGAACCATTCGCCCTTTGCTGTCTGCCCACCGAGAGCAGCAGTTGTCGTATCGTCCAGTACAGGGATCCAGTGATGGAAAAATGGAAAATACTGAGGGTATTTTGGCATGGTTGCGTGCAGCTTCGGGTCTTCGACAGACGCCAAGTGATGACATTGATTCTTCCCTTCAGTCATTTATCGATGTTCTCAACATTTCCCCTGATGGTTGCAGTGCAGCACACAAGCTACCGATGTCCGATCACCATGCAGACATATCTCTGCTCGGGGTGACTCCAGTTTTTATGAATCTGTTCTGGCCCTTCCGGTTTGACATGAATGCAATGAACCAACGTCTGGCTGCTTATGGCTTGACGAACAAAGTTATCTCTGAAAACAACGAGACCTTGAAAGAAGATTTCTTTCGGGAACTTCAAGAAGTGCAGGGCATGCGTCTCCCGGTGAAAGGAAACCAGATCGTGTTAAGCTTCGGGGACGCAGATGTTGTTGACGGACTGAAGCGAATCAACATTGTACCAGATGCCGAGGCGTATACTAGAGCTGGGAAACATCTCTACACTAGGGAGGAACAAGACCGGATACGACTGCTGGCCAACAAGGCGCTGGACTTAATCAACAAAACCCACGAGGAGCTGTATAGTGCAATGGTTCAAATGGTTTCTTGCATTGCCTTCTTCAAAGACGAATCTGACAAGTACACCAGTGGAACGGTCAACTCTGCCTTAGGGGTAATATGGTTGGATCCACGGGACGATTGGACGCTTCCATTGATGGCAGAACAAATAGTTCACGAGTTCATACATACGACACTGTTCTATACTGAGCTCGTCCAGGGTGGTTACAAGGACACGTCCCGAGTAACAGAAGCCCTAGTGTTGTCTGCTATCAGACAGGAACCCAGGCAGTTCGACAGATCTCTACATGCTGCCTATGTATCAGCTGGTCTCATCACCTTCCACACCAGGGCCGGCTTCTTCGACAGAGCAGCAAAACTTGCCCAGATGATGCCGGAGGCTGTGCAGGAACTGAACAGGGTCAATGCTGAGACTGACGTCCTGGATGAGGCTGGTCGTGCCATGCTCAATTTCCTCACTGAATATGTGTGTCTCACCCGCATGTAATCTTGTCGAGTCTGCTCAACCAATAAATGTCAATGTCATGACCTTTTGACACATCAAGGTAATCAAGGAAGGACCTGTTTTATACGAATACGATTATGTGTTAACTGTCTACTTCATTCAGCAGTGTAGTGAATAAAGTTCCAGTGTTAATACATGGAAGACGGAATATTTCATGCAGGAAGTGAGTGAGTGAGTGAGTGAGTGGGGTTTGAGCTAGTATTTGAGGTACACCATGTGATGTTACCTTATTGTGACGTCATCCCACGAGCGTCACCATCCCCTTATCTGCTTCCGGGCCAACCTATTGGGCGTTCTTCCTCTAACCGCCTACGGTTGGTCAGGAGGTTCCTCGTTCGAATCCGACCACAGGAGTAGCCCACTATATGGCCACTTCATTATGTTGATTTTTTTGTGAAATCAGCGATCACGTGACAAACACAGAATCATTATGAGGGCGAGTGTTGAGTGCTCGATGCTCGACCTGCTCATGTAACTAAATACAGCACCACAGTACTCAACAACAACAATAGAGATTGCGATATGCAATCATCAGGCTGCATTGCATTACCGAAACATTCATTGGTTTGAACTATGATTTGAGTTTTACGCTGCTTTTAGCACTATTCCAGCAATATCACGGCGGGTGTGACCTATGGACCTATGGGTAGTCAGTAAAGTTAGTAAAAAATGACATTAAAGTTAGAGATCTTATGTTCAATACACAACTAACAGGATCGTTAGTGATAAGGTTTATTTGAACGTTCGACATGGCTTTAAACCATAAAAATGTAATTCTGGTGCAGACCCATCCTCAATCGTAGTAAGGTTCTTGGGGTACTGTAATGTCAATGTAATGTCAACATTTAGTGGCGGTGGGATAGCCTAGTGGTTAAGGCGTTTGCTCGTCACGCTGAAGACCCGGGTTCGAATTCCCACATGGGTACAATGTGTTAAGCCAATTTCTGGTGTCCCTTGCCGTGATATTGCAGGAATATTGTTAAAAGCGGCGTAAAACCAACACAATAACAATGTACACATATACAACCCATCAAAAGTTAAGACTCGCTAGTGTAACTGTAGCCACTTCCTTCAGTCAACTGTTCTAAACTAGATTTTGCAAAATATTGCACACTTCCGCACCATTCAACTGGATACTGTATACAGGGACTCGAACTCAGTGAAACATCAGCGCCCAGTCCCCGTTTGGCAGTCGACGATATGAGACCCACAACAGACAAAACCAAGATTTGACTCGTTCTTGGGAAGGAGCTGCAGTCTGTTCGTGAGGAGAACTGATAGGGTTTCTTCCTGTTCGTGAGGAGAACTGATAGGGTTTCTTCCTGTTTGAGAGGAGAACTGATAGGGTTTCTTCCTGCTCGTGAGAACTGATAGGGTTTCTTCCTGTTCGTGAGGAGAACTGACATGGTTTCTTCCTGTTCGTGAGGAGAACTGATAGGCCCTAGGGTTTCTTCCTGTTCGTGAGGAGAGTGAGTGAGTGGATTATTATTTAACGTCACATCGGCAATATTTCAGCCATATCGTGACGAGAACATTTGAGTGAGTGAGTGAGTTAAAATTTAACGTCACATCGGTAATATTTCATCCATATCGTGACGAGAACAATTAATTTTCTACATAGTAAGTAATGGTAAACCTTAAAAAACCTGTCAACGAAGGACAGTAAAATAACTAGATTATCACAGATTCGAAGTTAAAACTAGTTATTAAATCTAAAACATTTTAACTATAAGGGACAACACAATATAAAAATGGGCTATAGATCGCCAACAACTGAAGGTAGATCACCATACTAGGGACCATGGGGACTTACAGTACATTTGCTTCCTGCATGGGCCCTAGCTGGATTTACATCATCCCCTCAGCTGTTAGCAATTGAGATATATCTAGCCATACATTAAAAGTACATATATTCTACGATTAAAAAAAACGAAACGTTGAAATTTACTTTGAATGTTTTGGGACTTACGTATCCTCTCAGGAGGACAATAATACTTTAACCCCCCTCGAGGATACAGCCACTAACAATCTGTGTTACTAATTCAAACTTCCAATCATAAAATATTTAGCTATTTACAAATCAGTCAACAAATCTAATTCTTTTAAAAATTCAACTATTTATGATAATTAACATTATAAAAAAGATCCTTCAATGTTTTGACATTAAAATACTTATCCCTTGTGATGGAACATTCAACACAGTCAAGCAGGACATGCTTGACTGTGATTCTTTCATCACAAGGGATACAAACGGAGGATCTTCGCCTTTAAGCAAATATTCATGTGTATACCTTGTATGGCCAATGCGACATCCCCGTATAATGACCTCTTCAAATCTGGACTGACAACCCAAGTAGGTGTAACCAATATAGGGTTTTATTGCATGTAATTTATTGATACCTACTTGGGCATCCCACTTCTTCTGCATCAGATCACGGATGTAAGTTCTAATGCAAGCTTTGTAATCAGAGTAAGGAATAAGAAGTGGTGTCACAGATTTGTTGAGTGCTGCCTTAGCAGCAAGATCGGCCATTGTGTTCCCAGAAATGCCAACGTGGCTGGGTAACCAACAGAAGACGATGTCGCATTGGCCAGTAGCAAGATCATTATATAATTCGATTATTTCAATTAAAAGTGGATGTTTGCAAGATAGATTTTTAATAGCCTGAAGGCAAGATAGAGAGTCAGAAAAGATTATATATTGTTTATGTTTACGATGTCTATGAATATATTTAAAAGCTGTTAAGATGGCGTTTGCTTCTGCTGTAAATATAGAGCTGTTATCGGGTATTCTAGAAGATATTGTTCTGGATCCAATGACAGTGGCACATGCCACTGCGCCACCGTCCTTGGATCCATCTGTAAATAAGGATTTATAAGTAGTATATTTACTTTTTAGTTGATTATATTCTGGTTTATATTGTAATTCATTAGTTTCTGATTTTTTAAACTTTGTCAGAGTTAGGTCAACTTGTGGCCTAACCAATTGCCAAGGAGGAGAAGAAATAAGACGGGAAGGAGATATATGGTCTAGCTCAATGCCAGCAGCAGAAAGGAAAGGTTTCACTCTTATACCAAGAGGCGGAACAAGAGAAGGCTTCTTGTTATACAGATCTTCATATAGTGGATTAAAGACACAGTTATATGCAGGGTTTGACTCATTGGAATAAAGTTTTGTAATATACTGTAAAGTTAGTTTTATACGGCGTTGTGTAAGAGATGGCTCATCAGCCTCGACGTAGAGGCTGTCAACAGGTGAAGTTCTAAAGGAACCAAGACATAGTCTTAGACCTTGGTGGTGGACAGAATCTAAACGTTTTAGATTACTGATGCAGGCTCCACCATACACGATGGAGCCATAATCAAGTTTGGAACGTACCAGTGATCGATATAGATGTAGGAGGGTAGCTTGATCCCCTCCCCACTTAGAATTGGAAACGACTTTCAACAAGTCAAGTGCCTTCAAGCATTTAGTTTTTAGGGACTTGAGATGGGGAAGAAAAGTTAGATGCGAGTCAAAAACTAAACCCAAGAACTTGGCTTCCTTAACGACTTTGATGGGAGAGCCATTTAGAGACAGTTCAGGGTCTTTATGTGGTTTATATTTTCTACAAAAATGGAAACAATTAGTTTTGGATTTAGAAAATTGAAAGCCGTTTTCAAGACACCATTTATCAATTTTGTTTAAACACAACTGTAGTTGCCGTTCAATAGTATGCATACTTTTACCACGACAAGAAATATTAAAATCATCCACAAAAAGTGACCCATCGATTGAATTACTTAAGACCTTTGATAAACTGTTGATCTTAATACTAAACAATGTGACAGACAAAATACTGCCTTGTGGGACACCCTGATCCTGCTTATAATGGTCAGACAGGGTAGAACCCACGCGGACCTGAAATTGCCTATCAGTTAAAAACTCGGATATAAACTGAGACAAACGGCCTCGTAATCCAAAATCATGTAAATCTTGTAAAATGCCGTGCTTCCATGTCGTGTTATAGGCTTTCTCTAAATCGAAAAATATTGACACTGCATGCTGCTTGTTAAGAATGGCATTCTTAACGAATGACTCCAATCGAACTAAATGGTCAATGGTACTGCGATTTTTACGAAAACCACATTGAATATTTGTGATTAAATTATTGGACTCTAAGTACCAAGTTAATCTGTTATTGACCATGCGTTCCATGGTTTTGCAAACGCAGCTAGTCAAGGAAATGGACCTATAGTTTGAGGGATCTGTATGATCACGTCAAGGTTTAGGTATGGGTACAACAATGGCATCACGCCAAGATGAAGGAAATTTACGAGATGTCGAAATGTCATCAAAAATATTTAATAGTGTTTCTAAACGGGATTCAGGTAAGTGTTTCAGGAGTTGATAATGAATGTTATCAGCTCCTGTTGCAGTATTGCGAGCTTGGTCAAGAGCAGTATGAAGCTCGTGGATAGAAAAGATTTCTTTATAGTCTTCCCCATTATCCGAATGAAAATTGACTTGTTCCTCTTCTTGCAATTTTTGGTATTTTTGAAATTCAGGAACATAGTTTGACGAGGAAGAATGTTTTGCAAATGTTTCACCCAGTTTATTTGCGATGTCAGATTTATCTGTTAACCATTGGTCCCCATTTTTGAGATGATGAATGCTTGATTTGGTACCCTTACCTTTAATTCTCTGGATCATGTTCCATACCTTGGACATCGGTGTCCGTGAATTTATTTTCGAAACATATTTTTGCCAAGACTGGCGCTTATTTTGCTTAAATGTTCGACGTGCTTTAGCGTTTAAAATTTAAAATTTATCTAAATTATGCACCATTGGGTGGCGACGGAAATAGTGTTCAGCTTTTTTCCGTGCCTTTGTAGCTTGTTTGCAGTCATTATTAAACCATGGTTTACGTATATGTGGATTTGTAGAGGATCTAGGAATACACTCATCGGCTATTTTGTGTAGTTCATCAGAGAATAATTGCACTGAATCAAGAGCATCAATTAAACGAGCAGGATTGAG